ACTATGACCAATCTAGCTCGTACTCTGAAAGATCAAAGGAAGGACGACGAAGCTATGGAGTTGATGACTTCCTCGCTGGCAATGAGCATAAAGGTACTCGGTCCTTCACATTATCAAACTCAACGCGTTTTCGAGACCTTGACGGCATGGCTAAGTGTCGATGCTGCAGAAGACCAAGCAGGACAAGATTCCAATCGTATGCCTGGAGCCTATGTTGATTGAACATGCACTGAAGGAGCGTATTGTCACGGTTCGGCGAAATCGTGACATTTTCACGCAAGGCTAAGCGCGTAAGGCTCCCTTACGATATTGCCTATGGGGGATCAGCGAGCGCAACGGTTTAGCACGGTGGCACATATACCCTTAGGATGAGCCCACCATTCTGCCTTCCTCTCTTTTGCTTCTCGAGCTTAGTCTCTTAGTTCAGTGCAATCTATATATTTGGAGTTCTCTCCTTGTCTTTGTGTCATGCCACCACAAGTAGTGTCAGAGTAATACGGGAACACGCAAGGACGAGTAATAATCCGCCGACTTTGCCGGATCATTCTCCCTATATGGAATAAGATTGCAAGCAGAGCGTCGTTCACTTCCGGCTCAGCATCATCGAAAGAAAGTTACAATGTATTTGGAGGTAGGCCCTGATACTGTGACGCGGGAGGATTTGTTGCCGCTCTTAAATCTCGTGACGACCTCTACTTGCGAAAGGCTCGGGTGAACTAAACCCATGTAATACAGAAAGGGTTTTCTTTTGCAATGACAATTGTGGCCTCTCGATTGGGTTGAGAATCACTCCGTGGGTAGCTGATATATATCTGGCATACATTGACTGTACTGATCAAAACATGAACCAAAAAATAGTTGATATGGGTATCTTTCTCAAGCGCCTGTCTCAGGACGATCAATATACAAGAGTCAACACTCAACAAGATGGGCTTTGGCGTGGCAGCCGCAGGATCTCTGAAAGGCATGATCGACATACCGAGGAGAGACGGGTCCATGTACGTCAGGATGTGACCAGCGAGAGGGATAGAGCGTGTCTCAACAAAAACAGCTACGGATTTCAATTAGCACGTGGCTGTCTCCCCTCTTCCACAGTACTTCACGCGCGAAATCCTTCGAGGGATCTACATTCAGCAATCTTGCACCCAGGTCAATGGGGCGCTGTCCTAGTACTGGAATTTCCGCCCGAGAGTGGTAGTCTACAACAAGCTGCCCTAGGATTCGACTTTGATTTCAACCCAATATGTCGTCTCAGAGACTCATGGGCGAGCGACGAAAACCCCAACTTTGTGCAGAACCCACCTGATATATGGTCGTATTTGTTCGTGGACTTGACGGCTCGTGAAGAGATCATTGAAGGTAGCAGGATCTATCGGCGAGCTGATCATCACGGCATCTGGATCTTGGCGGGTCACCGAACAAGGGGCTTGGACGTCTGTCTGCACGAAGGATTGTTAGACATGAATGGTTCGATTGTTAGTCTCAAGCGCGATACATCAAGACCGCGTCCATACTGGGAACTTCGTATTGACAACTTCAATGGTCCTGTTTATAGGCGTTCTCTTGAAGGTGGAGGTGATAAATCCTGGCCACATAAAAAGCGCTGAGTACATACTTCTGTGATCCCTCAGCATTGCTACACAATACTGGGCTGTCTAGCTATAAGCTGTGATAATTCGTGACAAGGTTCTTGGAAACACATTTGGCGACAAGAGCAATTTGGACCCTGCTGGAAAAGGGTTCAGCATTGGTGGAGTAGACATGTTCGCGCCTTCAGCCCAAAGATGCAATCATGCCAAGGCTGGGGCTAACGCTGGGACGAGCTGCACCCTTCGACCCTCTCGCAAGCCATCCAGTTCCTGACGCATTATGGGCGTTCATGCAGACGCGATGCCCTCTTCACTTGCCGAACGAAATCTATGATGCGCAAGTTCAAGGACAGATTCCTGAAGACAGCCGCGACCCCGCCGCAGAAAGCGGCCGAGAGTTCGCGGTCATCACCGCCGAGTCAGACGCCTGCGATCTCCTTCCCTGACGGAGTCAAAGTGCTCCACAACAGTGATGACGCAAAGGTCGACATCTGCTTCGTCCATGGCCTGACCGGCAACCGCGACACTACGTGGACGGCCAAAGGGCAATCCCAACCGTGGCCACAGACCTTGCTGGCACCGCAGCTCCAGGGAGCGCGCATTCTGACCTACGGCTACGATGCGTACGTGGTGAAGAGATCGGTCGTGTCGTCGAATCGACTCATCGATCACGCCTCCAACCTCCTGAACGACCTGATCACCGATCGAGCGAGCCATGGTGCCTCCGACTGTCCCCTCATCTTCGTGACGTACAGCCTGGGCGGCCTCGTGTGTAAAGAAGTGATCCTCTAGTCGCGCAACAACCCCGAGAGCCATTTGAAAAAGATATTCGAGTGTATAAAGGGGGTCGTTTTCATGGGGACGCTATATGTGGGCAGCTAGATAGCGGACTGGGCGAGACTGCCTACCTCGGCTTTAGGGATAGTCAAGTCCGCCAGCACGAAGCTGCTCAAGATTTTAGAGACAGATGATTAGCTGTTGGAGTCGGTCCAAGTTCGGTTCTTGAGTATGATTCGAGACTTACAAAAAGGTAATCGACAGCTAGAGGTGACCTGCTTCTTTAAGGAGCTCCCACTCCCGGTGGTAGGAAAGGTGGTGTCGAAGGAGTCGGCCACGTTTGCCGGATACAATCCGATCAGCATCCACGCCAACTATAGTGACATGGTCCGGTTTGCCTCTCCGGACGAGACGGGTTTTAAGCGAGTGCTGGGAGAGCTCACGCGATGGGAGATGGAGTTACGGTCATCCACCCCGAATGAGCATATCCCTTTAAATATACCCGGTAGATAACACCGCGCTGGGAACTAGGATTACCGCGGGAAAGCATATAGTAGGTGATGGTCCTGAGCGGATGAGGGCTTGGTGAAGATGAGAAATTAATAGATTAACAGGACGTCCATCGTCTCGCAAACCGATCTTCGTAGTGCCCTTCGAGCCCGACCCTTATTTTATCTCCCGAGAATCCATCTCGTCGGCCATTGAAGATTAGCTCGAACGGCATCGACGGGCGGTTCTCTACGGTATGGGCGGGACCGGGTAAGTGTTGTGCGCTATAGTCTCGATGAGGAATCCGGAAATCTAATGAGCGGATAACAGGAAATCGTAAATGGCCATCGCCTATGCTTATTAGTACTACCGAGAGTATCCATACAGTCACGTATTTTGGATATATACAGCCAGGAGAAGTCGATTTGTGCTGGCATGCCAGCAAATGGAGCGACGATTGAAATTACCCGGCTACGAGGATCCGAAAACAGATGCATGTGAGCTGGTAGCAGCGTGGCTGAACGACGAGGAGAACGGGCCGTGGCTTCTGATCGTCGAGACCCTTATACGCTAAGCTTTTAGGTTATCTTGGTGTAAAGGTTCTTTGTGACGACGCACTCTCCTCGAAGACGTTGATGTGAGGCAAATTGTGCTCGATCGATCGTTGTTCGCCCATCGTGGGGATTTGCGGGGTCACTATAATTGTGCTCGTAGTATCTTGTGGGATGCCTGCGTCTGATCATCGAAGTGGACTTTGTAACGTTTGCAGAAGGAGGGCCAATTCTGACTTTCCCGATGACTTCAACAATGCCTGCAGTGTCTCTGTGCTGTGCACACCTGCAGCCATGGTCGCCCTTTCTTCTACCGTATTGTTTGACACCCTTAGATCGAATTGAGGTCGCAAAATATCGGTCCCAAAGATTGCACGAGCGTCGTGTCCAGCTCGGTTCTCCTTAATCATAATTCCCGGGCGTGTAGCATTCGCCACCTGTTGTGCTTGCTTAAGAGCTCCCAGAGCGCCTTGTATTTGTGCACGATCGGCTCGAAGACGATCTCGTAACGACTCCGCTGCATCGCGAATGGCTTCTTCCACTTTCTCCGCCTGATCAATCAGGTCTTGCTTCGTGCCTTCGATTAGACCCTTCATGTCCTCGATCGATTCTTGTGTCGTACCGTGGTCTTGACTGGTGGCCATCAGCATTGTATCGTCATCAGTGGAGAGATCACTACATGTTGACGGAAGCAAACGCAATACTCAGCGTCGACTGATAGCTCGTAAGTCGCTGCTTCATATCGGCGAAGCTCTTCCCATGGAACTGCATCTTGAGCCAGTCACGAATGCTGGCGTGGACATCATTCGAACGTTGAGTGCATGCATCTAACGATTTCTGCATGTCCTCACCAGTCGATATGCAGCACTGCATCGGCTGGCGGAGGGGCTCATACTTGCATTCGTCGCCCGATTCCAGTATCTGCTGTTGGACCAGCTGGAGCACAAAGACCAGGGCAGTAAGGCTACTTTGGACTTCTCGGATATCTGTCCGTCGACTTTTGAAACTGGAAACGACCTCGTACAGCTTTTTGCTCGTATCATAGGCAAAGTTCGCAAGAGCTAAGATGCTTGCTGCCTCTCCGACTCCCGCCATTATGCGGACAGTATATCACTGTATAGTGTTTTGACACAACGCATCCTGGATGTGGGATCGCTGAGTCTGTATAGCTTCCCGGCAAGAGCGGGGTAACGTTGAACCAAGCCATGATTCCAAGAGTCAAACCTTCCCTTGGCAGATGCATCAGCCACAACAAAGCCACTGGTGGCCTCGATGCGCTCAGCGATGCACCTTTGGGGGCACCTCCCTTTTAGCTAAAGAAGTTGGTGGAGGGAATCTCGTATTGCCATTCCACACTTCAGCCTGATGCCCATTCTTTTGTTGACGTCCAACACGAATCGTCCCGATCATTATTTTACGCGTCTGCTGACTTAACTAGACATGGTATGCACTGGACGTGTGCTCATGAGACACCATGACACCTCGGATCGATATCACAGGCAACCAGGCCGAAGCCGGAGCGACCCAGGTTAACAACGTGACACTAAGCACCAGTACGCGCTCTATATTCACACCGCGCATCGGAAGATAACTAATGACGATGATGTCCAGGCCACACGAACGACGACATCGATCGTCCCTGCGTCCGTGCCCTCCGATGCCCCGACTCGCTGGCGGTCAAACACCGACTGAAAGAGAACAAAGACAAACTAGTGCCCAAGTCCTTCGACTGGATTTTAAAGGACCCCCAATATCTCCGCTGGCAAGATGAGTCCGACATGGGACTCTTATGGATTAAAGGCGGTGCGGGGAAAGGGAAGACGATGATGTCGATTGGTCTCATCGAAGTGCTGGAAGAGCAATCGCGACGGATGGCAGACTCATCCGCGGTGATATACTTCTTCTGTCAAGATGCGGACTACGAACTCAACACCATTGACGCGGTCATTAAGGGTCTGATCCTCCAACTGGTGAGGAAGCAGCCGAAACTCAAGCAATCACTGCGGGACCGATGGGACGTGGCTAGTCAGCGATACACCGAAAATGTCTCATCATGGCGGGGTTTGTGGGTCATCTTCCTGGAGATGCTTTATCGGTGCACTTATACACGCCTCTATGTGATGGTGGACGCGCTGGACGAATGCCAGGACCGCGAGATGGCGGAGCTACTTCGACTAGTTGTGCGGACAGCACTGGACCGGCTATCCCGTCTGAAATGGCTGATAACGAGTCGACCGTTGGACAGCGCGGAGCGAGTGCTGTTAGCTGGGCCAGACCAGGTCGGGGTCAGTCTCGAACTAAACTCGGATCACCTCTCGCAGGCCGTGCGGACGTACATTTCGCACAAGGTGGCGGAACTAGATCTTTGGTGTGAGTATGGCCCTGATCTTCGGCACCGGGTCGAGGACGAGCTACATATAAAAGCCGAGGATACTTTCTTATGGGTCAGTTTAATGTGTAAATAGCTGGAAAGTGTAGGGCGAGAGGATACGTTGACGGTGATTCGAGATCTGCCGCCTGGGCTACCCCCTTTCTACGATCGAATCCTACAATAGATTTGTCACGGAGAGTCAACTCTAGTCTAAGGATGCGTACGGTTACTGAAAGTGATGATGATAATCTATCGTCCTTTAGATGTGCGAGAGCTGAGCAGTGTGAGCGGGTTGCTTATTGACCGACAATATATTGATAAAGTGATTGGACGGTGTGTCTCGTTTATGACACGGCGCGGTAGTAGAATCGACTTTGTGCATCAATCGGCTCGGGACTACTTACGTGGGACGACAGGTCGAAGTATACTCGATAATCATGATCATTTTGAGCACAGCGATATTAAGGTGAATAGCCTTATGTGGCTGTGTTAGTGGTTGAAGGTAGACCTCCTAGACCTCAGACGGCCCGACTCATCACGAGAGACGATCATACAGCGCGAGCTCGAATTGCTAGCTATTCTTGACTATACCGCCATATTCTGGTTTCACCACCTTAAAGAGGCCGGAGATGAAGGTATCCACACTATCAGTATTAAAGGGTAAGTTACAAACTTCCTCCGGACTCGATTTTTAGAGTGGTTAGAATGTTTGAGTTGGTTGGATTAAATGGCGCGTGCCGTTAAGGCGCTACAGGTATTAGCCAAGATGTCCACCAAATCAGCTAATGTGAGTCTCACTAACGTCCTTAATTCACTAGTATACACTTTATAGCTAATATAGAGAATTCACAGCTTAACATATCAATATTCGTGACGGATGCGTAACGGTTCTTACTCCGATATTACTAAATAGTGTCGTTATAGCTACTATAAACGTATAGTTCAGCTATGATCTTCAGTCCGGAGAAGAGTGTTGTCCGTCAAGGAAACCTGGATAAGATCCCTAACTGGTTGGTGTCAGGATCCAGGTCGACAGGAGGTCGCCCGCATCCAGACAATGTGTGAGAAAGGCAGGTTTGCCGGTTGGACGACGGACACAGCACTAGCCTACGAGGCTGAGGGTCACATGACCCATGAGGATGCTCTGCTTGCTCTGGTGCTCTGGACAGAGCACGCAGGACAACAGAGCACGGGGAAATACACGAGTTTCCTATGTCTATATAGTTGGGGTTTTGCCCATCGTTCATAGTTCTCCTTCCGTAGTCAACTTCGTTCACAAACTAGGTGATACGTTTCATCAATAGTTTTCGTTCTGAATACAGACACCCTTGCTCTAGCATACGCATTGAAGCCTCTTCTTCCGCTTATCAGTAACACTAATCGAACACGTGACTTTTCGGAGGAACGATTCGTGACAGTATCATATCTAGGGACTTATACCACCGGGATGTTCCCAAGCGGCTAAAGCGCATAGGATTCTAGGTATTCTAATAGTGAGTAACTTAATATAGAAGTATTTGCTTCTCGACTCTTAACAATAGGGGGAGTAAAGGATTTCCGAGAGGCGATTTTAAGCTACGTCGCTCGGGCTAAACTTACTCACGTCCGAAAAGGAATGTGCCTAAGGCTGGCTCGACGCACAGACTCGTTCTAGAAGGTAAATGTAGGGGGACTAGAGCGATTCGAGGGCTGGCCGTTTACCTGTAACGAGTCCCGGTCGGCGGACCTGAGAGGGACGGAGGAACCTAGGATCGACGTGACGCCATGCTTGCGGGATTTTCGCTATTGGATAACGAGGTAGACTAGGAAGGGGTGTAGAAGAAAGGGATCGGAATCGAGGTTTGGACGGATACCGTGTCGTGTAATAGTCACGAAAAATAAGTAAAGACAAGTAGGAACGCGGCAGACGGGCGGGTGCACGACATATATAGGCGTTGTGAAAGCGGCGAGGGATCTCGCGCGGCTGGACTACCCGATCGGGGGCGGCTCGCCGCAGCAGGTTTAGGCTGCCATTTCACCGACATTGAGAATACGGAGTACCCTGTATATTTCGACACTCTGGCCCTCTGGATAAACCTCGGCAACGCCCCTAACGCCCCATCGCCCAACGCCCAATGAAGCCGCGCCGGGCTTATGTAACACGGGCGTTCTCACGTCCCATTTCACACGTGACCATGACAGCCCTCTCGGTGTTTTGCGTCACCATCGGCCGATTGGAGAAAACGCTGAGCCTGAGACTGAGACTGGGGGGAAACGAACCGGAACTGGAAGAAGAAGATGCGGATGCGGATGCGCGCAACTTGCACGCTGCGCTCGCTGCGTCTGCGTCTGCGTCTGCATCCATTTTCCAAAAACCACCACCACCACCATCTTATCCTTACATCCCGTGGCCACCGACTAGTATTCTGCTCATCCCGTGGCCACCAGTACTACCGACTTGTATTCTGCACCATGCTCCGCCCGTGCCTGGTTCTGCCAGCTTGAATCCTTCTCGTCGCCTCTGTCGCGCAATCTCAATCTCCCCCCCTCCCCGGATGCTGAGATCCTCTGTACAGATACAGATACAGACAGTCCCGTCGGAAGATTCCTCCTAGCACAACCATCTCTCGCTGAGCCCGTCTAAAAATTCCTCCTGGTCGACCATCTCTCGCTGCGCCCCTCTAAAGATTCCTCCTGGTCGACCAGCTCTTCGCTGAGCCCCTCGAAAGATTCCTCCTGGTCGACCAGCTCTCGCTGGGCCCCTCTAAAGATTCCTCCTGGTCGACCATCTCTGTCGCTGAGCCCCTCTGAAGATTTCTCCTGGCAGGACATCTCTCGCTGAGCGGGCGAACACCACCACTGACAGTCCTGCTTCCTTCCCCTCTGCTGCGCACCACTGACGGTCCTGCTTCCTCCCTCTCGAAGAGCGTGCGCACACCACCACTGACAATCCTGCTTCCTCCCTCTCGCTGAGCGTGCGCAAACCACCAGTGGCAGTTCCGCTTCCTCCCTCTCTGTCGCCCTCCTCCCTCCTCTGCCAGCTTCCAGCCTCCAGCACACCGATCTATCCTTATGTCCACGGCTACAATGACCACCACCCTGGGCAACTCCAACGTCCGAGGCGGCCTGTCGCGCCAAACCCGAATCAATCCCATCAGAGTCACAAGGGGCTTCGGCTCCAGCCAACAACGCCACAGCACTCTCACTTCACACGGAGGTCTCTCTATGGGTCAGTCCCATTCGAGCAACACCGCGGCGGCAGCAAACTCGGGCCTCCAAAGCAGCGATCCTGCGCGCCTATACCCAGCCATCACACATTTCGCCGATGCCATTGCGGCGTTGCCTCGAGAATTTCGCAGACACAATTCGCTGCTGAAAGAGGTGGACGCGAAGGCCTGGCAGGCCGAAGAAAGTCTACAAAATCTCCTGCAGCAATGTCTGGCCGATCCCGTCATCTCGGCTCCAAACTTGGTGCCAGCTGCGCTGCAGACTGGACCCGGGTCGGCCACCGCAGACGATGGCGCGAATGCCAGCGAGGTCAACAGTGTCGCAGGTGCTTCGGTCGAGAATGCCTCGCTTGCCTCGGTCCGTTCGGCCGATCCAGTCATCCTACAGCGCCGACGGCAATTTCATGCGTTGAGACAACAGCTGATGACCATCATGGTCACCATGGACGAAAAGAACCACGTTATCAACAACGCCAACGAGGAGGTGGCAAAGCACATTCGTCGACTGGACCGAATCTGGTCACATATTCCCAACGAGCTCTCGGAAGAGACACGACTGGGAAGTCTCAGACACTGGGGATACCCCGACTTAAATCCTGTCAAGAAACCTGCGGTACCGGTCCCCCGCAAAGAGGGTGCCACGAGCACCGCCAGCATACACGAGAGGGAGATTGCGCATCGAAGCGAGGCCAGAAGAGAAGCTCTCCTAGCCAGGCGACAACGACACAACCAAGTGGATTCCGATTTCGACGAGGCCAGACCCGCAGCCCGCAGGACCAACCACACCCCCAATCCCACTCCCAATCCCAACCTCAACCTCAATACAAACCCCAACGGCAAAAAGCGTGCCGTCGATGCGGCGCCGGACTCGGCTGGTCTGGGGATTTTGGGTGCTAGTGCGGCAAAAAGGAAGCGACCAGACAAGCTGGGAGTGGGCGGTATTGGCATGGAGCGTTCAACCAGCAGTACCATGGGGAGCCGGCCGATGTCAAGGGAGAATTCTCAGCAGGACAACGCCAAAAAGAGGAAGGCATCGGCCGCTCCGACCACGGTAGCTCGGAAAAGGTATGTGACGGATGCGGCGGCAAGAAGAAGTTGTACTGACATGGCTTTGCACAGAATCAACGCCTCGGCTCAAGACTCGCCCAAGCTTGCCTCCTCCCCTCTTTCCGGGACGACAGGAAAAGAAGCATACAAGAGAAGTCCTGCCTTGTCCACCGTACGGCCAGCTGGACGCGGCCGACAGAATTCCACACAGGCAGTGGAAAGCGCACGAGCACGGCCTTCGTCCTCGGCCTCGAACAAGAACGGCAGCAGCAGCAACTTTACTGCCAGCACGCCGGAGGTGAACAATGTCGCAGGCCTGGCGGGGAAGAGTATGACCGAGAGCAAACCTGCAATGAAAGAGAACAAGACCGACAAAGGAGAGCGGCTACTTGAAGACAAGGTCACAACCGGCACTGGTTCAGATGGCGAGGCGCCGTTGCGAAGTGCGACCCTGGTAGAAAGAACGGTCAGCAGGCAGGAGGGCGCGACCCAAGGCGAGCTGTCTGATGACGGTCCCACGAGAGCAATTGCGTCGCCGCGTCTTCCACTGGCAGTGCAGACCATCGAACTGAAATCCGAACGACCGGGAAGAGGTAGAGCCTCGAAGACGTCGACACCTGTAGCAGGAACCTTTGCCGAGGCTGAGGAGGCCGAGACGGGGTCGACCAACGGCAACGGTCATCATGGCAAATCCAAACGACCATCCAGACCGAGGGTGAAAGATCACGGGCTCCACGATTCTCTTTCGCCCAAAGGATTGCCGATGAAGCGGCAGCACAAGAAAAGTTTGAGCTTGTCGACCTTACCACCACCTTTGGCCACCACTCAGCGACTGAAGGAAGAAAATGACGCGCCCAATTCCACCACGTCTTCGGAGCGAGGCGGTCTAGACAATGACGTCGGGGATGACGATGAAGAAGTCGACGGTGGCGAGGACGACGAGGAGAGATATTGTTACTGTCAAGGCGTCAGCTATGGAGAGATGGTGGCCTGCGACAAACCAGACTGTCCGAGACAATGGTTCCACCTCGACTGTATTGGACTGAAGAGTGTGCCTAAAAGTGCCAAGTGGTACTGTGACGAGTGTAAGGAGGCACTGGCCAAGAAGGGAAGAGTTGCGGGTGGTGGAAATGGGAACGGGAATGGGAGTGGCAATATCAATGGGAGCGGGAGTGGAGGTGGAAGTGGAAGTGGAAGTGGAAGTGGAAGTGGCAATGACAACGACAATGGCAATGGCAATGAAAGTGGAAGTGGAAGTGGGAGCGGGAGTGCGAGTGGGAATGGGAATGGTAGGATTGGAATTGGAGATGGAACTGGAAATGGGAATGGGAATGGGAAATAGATTCGATACGGTACTGTGCTGTACTGTGCTTGCTGTGCAGTACTTGCTGTGCGGTGCTTGCTGTACATGCAGTGCTGCGCTGTCCATTCCTATCCACTCCTACTCCTGTCTTTGTCTTTTCTTTGGATCAGCCGTGTCAGTGTCAGGATCAGGACCAGGATCGGGACCAGTGTCAGGACCGGGAGCGGGATCAGGACGTGGATCTGGATCTGGAAAGGATCTAAAGCTGTTTCTGTTTCTAGTCTTGTCGACCTATACCACAAAGCGAGGTGAGATTGAGGTTGAGGATAAGGTTGAGGGAAAGATTAAGGTGAGATAGAAGTTAAGGTTACAAGGGAAGCGAAGCGAGCCTAAGGCTGAGGCTGAGTGAGAGAATGTACAGATAGATACCTACCTACCTAGGTACAATACCTTAAGTACCTGACCTACTAGGTGCCTAGGTATGTACATATCATATGTAATATCACTTTCCATCCTCCCACCCTTCCAAGGGCAGTTAATTGGAACAGGAACAGGGACAGGAAGGAACATAGTGCACACTGGAAACCGTATTCATAATTCATGAATACTGCTTTAGCACCATCCCGAGGTGAGGTGTCAGCCATGGATGGTCATGGTTATGGCTATGGGAATGGTCATAGCTATAGCTGTAGGAGATCAAGTATCAAATATCAAGCATCAGCAACAAGGCAAACTATATAAACCAAACACTAAAGGCCCCCCGCAAAGGCCCCGCGGTCGAGCACTCTTGATGGTCTGTTCGGACTGACTTGGACTCTGACTGTGACTCTGTCTGCCATAGGGTACGTACATACATACGTACATACAGTACAGCATAGAGCACGTCCTTTTCGCTGCCGGTGCGGGTGCCAATGCCAGTAAGCAAGTGAGTTCGGAGTGCCGGTGCCAGTGCCAGTGCCAGTGCCGGTGTCAGTGAGAGAAGATGAGTGCCGGTGCCATTGCCATTGCCAGTAAGTAAGTGAGTGCGAAGTCCCAGTGCCAGTGAGAAGATGAGCGAGTGTATGAATGAAAGCGAAAGAACGAAACCCAGAAATGACAGAATATCCTCCTTTTTCGTCCCGTTCCATTTCCCATCCTAGCCTGCCTTCCTGTCCCTGTCGCTGTCGTGTGGTTGAATATCCCACTTTCCACCTTCCACCTTGGAGAGTACTCTTTCAAGAGCCGAGCCATCAGGCTCAAGGGGGTTGAGAACCCCTAACCTCTCAAGAGCCAAGCCATCAAGCTCAAGAAGGTCGACCCCCCTAACCAGCTTCCACCTTGGAGACTGTTCTCTCCAGAGCCAAGCCATCAGGCTCAAGAGGATCGAGGCCCCCTAACCAGCTTCCCCTTAGACACTGCCCTCTCAAAATGGTCGAGCCCCTAACCAGCTTCCCCTTGGAGACTGCTCCAGCTTCCCCTTGGAGACTGCCCCCTCAAGACGATCGACCCCCCCTAACCAGCTTTCGCCTCTTCGAGCCGTCAGAGCGAGTCGGTTCGCCAACGGTAATGGTGTCTGACCTGTCTGGCAAGCCGTCGTCACTGTCCCTGTTCACCAACGATCAGTCAGTCAAGCAATCATTGCTGGGCCTAAGCCTAAGTCTGGGTTGGGAGTGAAGGTGAGGTAGGGTAGGGTAGGGTAGGGCAGGGTAGGGTAGGGTAGGGCGGCGAGACCGACGGAACCAGCTCTAAGAGTGACTCCTAAGCCTAAGCCTGGCTGGGAGTGAAGGTGAGGTAGGGTAGTGTAGGGTAGGGCGACGAGAACTACGAAACCATCCCTAAAAGTGACTCACTCTTCAGTCTTTTCGGCCAAGGCATCGTCTATGATCTTGCTCCAGGCAGCGTCCTCTTCCGCCTCCATCTTTTTGAGATCCGCTGCACGCCTGGCTGCCTCCAGTTGAGTTCTCAAGTCTTGAATTTCTGCATCTTGTGCCTGCACTCTATCTCGTAGGTCTCTGCACTCCGTGGTCACGTCGTCGACTGTCGTTTCGAGACGACGGATCGTCCGACTCTGTGTCGAGGGGATAACCCCGGCGTCAATAGGAATTCGTTTCTTTTGGTGTGTGAAGCAGGTAGGCAGAGAGGTAGATAGATAGATAGGCAGGCAACCAGGCAACCAGGCGGGTAGGCAGGAAGGTAGGCAGGAAGGTAGGCAGGTAGATAGGCAGGTAACCAGACAAGCGGACAACCAGGCAAGTATAGCTGGGCAGGTAACCAGACAGGCAGGCAACCAGACAAGCGGACAACCAGGCAACCAAGCCGCACAGGCAGGCAGGCAGGTATAGCTAGGCAACCAGGCAGACAAGCAGATATAGATAATAGCGAGACAGCTGTGGAGGAATGCTTACCCTGATGATCAACTTGTCGTCCAAGAATCGACAATGCTCGAGAAGAACCTCACTGTTCTCCAGCAGGCCTTCCTCGGCCACTTTGTCCGATTCCCCATTTTCGAGGCGTTGTCGGTGAGCATGGAGATCCGCCTCGTACTGAAGAAGGTCCCCGTCCCTCATGGGCGGATGGACGGTGGTAGTGTAGGGCGAGTGAGGCATGACGAGAACAAGGGAGGTTGGGTTGGAGGTTCAGGGTGATGTTGAGGTTGAGGTTAAGGCTGAGGTTGGTTGAGGTTGGTTGAGGCTGAAATCAGGTATCAGGATGGGATGGGATGGGATGGGGATCAAGCGTCGTAGATCGACGGTGGAGCCGAATCCACTTGAGCTATAGTATATAGTATGGAGCAGGGAACCAAGCCGATCTGATCGACTTTGAGGATAGCAGAAGGGCCGAGTACAGTAGAATGGTATGATCTGGTGTTGGGGTGGGAGAGTGTGTGTGAGACTGAGAGAGAGACGGTGTGTGTATAAGAAAGAGAGAAAGAGAGGGGGAAAGTGACAGCCTCAGCGACAGCTTCAGCCATCTACCGAGTCCCTGTCCTTTATGTAGGGTCTGGTCTGGTCTGGTCTGGGCCGGCAGCTTCAGCGTTGTCGGGCTGGGTTTGGGTCAGGTCGAGAAGGCGGTGTGCGGTGTCGAAGGCAAGGGGCGTTTTTAGGGAGACTTGGAACCTTCAGGGTACGCGGTACGGAGTACTCTCACTATTATTCGGTATTGTATGGAGTATCCGTACCTGGTGCAGTCAGGGCACTGTACGGAGTATGAGTATGAGTACGGAGTATCCTTGCTAGCAGTTAGGTGGCAGTGAGAGTAAGGTATCCGTATGTACTCCGTACTCCGTACTAGGTCGTATGTACTAACCGGATCCAGGTTCATGCTCTACTTGCTCTAATGAGAGGACTAGCTAAAGGCACCTATAGGTAGGTAAGGTAAGTAAGGATAGGAGGTGATAGGTGTGATTGATACACCTCAGCCCCGATTACTACTCCGTACTACCTAGTATGCATGTATCTCTATCCCTGTAGGTAGTACTCCTAGTACTCCGTACTGCGTACTGTGTATTTCGACTGTCTTGGATGGCCACCCAGTCTCCAATGCCTTCAATTCGTACCCGTCACAATACCGGTTCTGCCAGCCACCAAATGCATCGCAGGATTTGGCTGATCAATATCAAAGGAGTGGCTTGAATCTACGACGTCTCGAAAATAATGACTACCAACGCCATGATCGTCCAAAAGAGTTCTACCTTAAAGTGAGGCAAAAGGTTCCACCAGCCGAAGATGATCGTCAGAACTAACGAACGATCATGGTCATGGGCATGAGAAAGACTTCGGACGTCCCATGTCGGGCTGCCTGGTCTCACGCCCATCACTCTGGACAGAGTCTGTGCTGCCTGAACATGAATGCTTTACCTTTCTGAAGGAATGCACTGGACTCCAGACTTGACCAACCACCATGAAACGCCTGAGAGTCCATGGAAAGGGAGGCTAAGGCATGCAAAGGGAGAATGACACGGGGATAAAAGTAAAAAGGAACCTGGAGTGACTTTGGACTCTTTAATGTAGTATAGGTCATGCCAGAGCCAGGAGGGCTGTTTGAGACAGTCGTCGAAAGAATCGTAGCAAAGAAGTTCCTGAGTCTGGCGTCCATGGAAAAATCCGGGATGAACCATGTCGGGATGTGGTCTGCAGCATTCAAATTGTACACTGCGTCAATCTTGTGCGGCCCCATCTCCCTATCGTCCATGCTAGATTCACCCTGAACCAAGACCTGGTTGAGGAGGTCATCTCGGGGAAGAGTTCGCTCACGGTCGTGTTTGAGATTGTATACCCAGTTGGGTATACTGAATAGTAGATGGGGTGATCAAAATATGTGCCGTCAACCAAGGCAAAACATGTCCCGGCGACATCTATCAGGGGAACGCGCAAGATCTGACGAGGCATTGTCGGATTGAGCTAGGCATGGTATGGTATGGACTTGTGCAACAGATCAAGATCAAACCTGCAGCACACCGTTTGCAGATAGAATCTGAGCCGACGGTAGGACAACGATGCGGTCTAGATTGCGACATGTGGGTTGGTGCTTGCTGCAACATGTCCAAGCAGTTTGACGACGCAGGCGGCAGCAAGACTGGTTCGAATGATGGGCATGAGCCTCTGCATAGCGACACTGCCTCGAAGTTAGCTGTGCAGTCATGGAAATATTGGACACCACACATGTGGTCAGGGACAGCGACGGCGTTGGCGACGGTGACATTGAAGGTGAACAGAAGCTTGACATGTTCTCTGAAGATGCTCAACCTTCTCACTGTGTGAGCAGGTAGGCAGACCAGACGAGAACATACCATACCAGACCAGACCAGCCGCAGGAGGGCCCTGCTCTGCCCTGCCCTGCCCTGCCCTGCTCTGCACTGCACTGTTCTGCCCCTGCTCCCGTCCTTCGCCTCTCGCCTCAATCTCCAGGAACAACGAAGACTGAGATGACTGAGTTGCCAGCACCACCAGAATTGACTGTGCTGACTGCGCATTTCGGCCTGCACTAGCCATCCCAACCTCCCTCTTCCTTGTCTGTCATTTGGCCGCAGGGTCAAAAGTGGTTTGATCACCACCCGCCTACCCCGTACTCCTTACACATGCTAGGGACACAGAAGTGCTTCGCAGCCGCAGCCGAGGGGACTTGACCGCCGTTCTTCCAACGAGGACTATCCTGGCCCGCCGCCAGACGGCTCACGGCCCACCGCATGCCCAACTTGTCTGCACAAACATGATGGGGTTGTGATTGTAGCTGCGCGAGCCCGAGGAACAAACAATGGACTGACACATGCTGCCGTCGTGGAGAAAGCGATCGACATAGACATAGACGGTTAGCCAGTAAAACAGGGCTGATTCAAGGCTCAACTCTCCGTCTGCAACATGACCTGGCCTGTCCCATGTTGGGACCGTTCCAGCGTTGCATATCCAGGATGGAACATGCTGCACTAGTTGCTGTGCCGCACTTGTCATGTCCCAACGCCCAACGGGTCACCATGCGGCGAATGAAGTCTCGCGTGATATGCAGAGGATCGAAATTGATCACATCTGCCAGAGCAACGTGGCCATGGCTCGGTGGTGGTCCAGACTGCATTGCATTCATGTGCAGACGAGACATTCAGAGACCGGTCAACAATCCCTGACACACTCACCCACTCACTCTCTTTCCCTCATTTCCCCGTGATAAGGAAGGCAATCCATCTGTCTTGCCAAGGTCATTTCATCCCACGGGTTAGATGCTTCTGCTGCTTCTGACACGGGACATTCAGGATCATGCTTGCGGGGATTCGGAACAGGTCTGAAGAGGCGCAGCCCGACAAATGTGAACCTGGACATCAATGCAAGGCCCCCAATGGGCTTCCAGAGTCGAACCCTAGTCTGGTGACCAGCGCAAACCCTTGACAAGCGAATCCATTAGAAACGCAACGAGGCGTCTACTTTCACCGCGCAGTGACTGGCTGCTTTGAAGGTGGGTTGGGCACCGCGGCATCCTGAGTGCCAATCACACCCATTCTGTTGTATTCGGTGGCCCGAAAGACCTGGATACCTGGATGACATGATTCATGGTCAAGGGCAACCACTCCATCTTCCCACCTCTCGCTGATAGGGTTCCATAACATCGGTCGTATTGGCGGTGAGAAGACTAGGCATATATCAGTTGCTCTCATTAGACCCGACCTTCCCACCTTCCAGTATCACCTCCAGCCTCCATTCCCTCACTTCCTCACTTGCTCACTTGCTCACTTCCTCGCTCTCCAGCCACTCTTTGGGCCTGATTCCAGCCTGCTATCACGATGAATACTTTCAAGTTGCACCAAGGTCGACTGGAGAACCTCGACGATATCACCGGCTACCGCGACTATGACGAGGCCATCCTACCTCTGCCGGAAGCGACCATCAATGCCGCCGTGCGGGATGCTGTGTACATGCCACTGCCGTGTCTGTCATCCCGACGATCTCCCACCTGCAGTGCGTCGGCACCCCGTGCACTTCGCCCAAAGCCCAGCACAAGCTTCCAGGGGATGACCGGCACCAGCGAGACCGGCCACTGTTTCCGCCTTGGACTGCGAGCTCACAAGGATTGGCAAACTTTGTTGCTCCCGGCTGAAGACCGGCCTCTAGATATGGAGAAACTATCCGCCGAGATCCAACGTCTGGAGGCTTCCTGTCGTCGACGCAAGAAAGAACGCCAGACCATCCAGACCTGCGACCGAGAGTGGGCGGGCCAGAAAACCAAGATTCCGGGCATCACTGTGTGGCACATGGCTGATGTCCAAGACGTGACACAGGCGATGGAAATTGACACACCGGGATATGATGGACGCAGTGTTCAAACCACCACCCCGACAGCACAGAGTGCGCAAGGGTATGTTGATGGAGAGGTGCAGCCTGATCCGCTTCCCGGCTTCCACTGCTTCTTGCAAAGAACATTTGCGGGATTGCAGCCTGACGGTGGGGCATCTGGATCGGGTCCGATGGACCTCGATGAGGGATCTCCTGAAGTCTACTATGGCTGGGCGGATGCACGTCGGTTCCCTGGTCCGTTGAAGAGCCGACATGAGCTCGACGCACTCCATGCCCACATTCAAGCAGCACCGGCGAGAGCTTTTGAGTTCTGATATACATGGCAGACAAGACCCAGGCACCAACCAGATGTGACCTCTTTCGACGCTATCACTATCGTCATCAGGCAGAACTGCTACGACATGAACAGGCAACAGGATTTCGGGACGGCGGCCTCCTTTGACGCTGTCACTATCATCATCACGCAGAACTGCTACGACATGAACAGGCAACGGGATTCGGAAACGGTTGCGGTTTTCTTAGGGCTTTGAGCTTCGTATTTAGTTTGCAATGACTAATGACTCTATGACCTCGAATATACTGCGGCCATGTCCTTCCAGAGGTAGACCTGACTGAAGCTGTCTTTCCGTACACAACAGCAATCGGCCGTGCCGCTGTCGTCCGTACACAGCAACCAGCCGTTGGGCCCGCCACAGGTAGACCCAACTGAAGTCATGTTTCCGTACACAACAGCAATCCGTTGGGCCCGCCGACAGCGGCATGGCCGATGATGGTTGGGCTTCATCCTCGCTACCACACCTCATGCTTCAGGAAACGGTGTGGTGGACCAGTAAGACCATGGCTTCACTGCGAAGTACGGATACTCCGTGAGAGTAGCATCCATCCAGGCGTGGCTAAGGCTGTCACGTCGGCGTCGGGCGTTGGGGGCCGCGCCATCAACCATCAACCATCAACCATGGCCTATGACCCATCAACCATGACCTTAGGCATGACCCATGACCCCTGATCCCCTGCAAAGCCAGACTTTCTCTCACCGCAGTTTCCGCCCTGGTGCGTGGCGTGGCGGCAGGGACAGGTTCCTCGATCAAATAACAATGTGGACACTGGACACAATAGCGTTTGCGGCAGAGGCAGTTCCTTGATCAAATAACAAGGTGGACACTGGACACAATACGGAGTACTCCGTAGTGTTTGTCCATCGGCACGGTGGGGGAAGGGAGGAGTCCGGGCAGATTCAGTTGCATACCCAGGATGGAACATGCTGCGCTAGTTGCAGTGCCGCACTTGTTGTTCGGCGAGGTGGGTGGTGGGTGGTGGGTGGTGGGTGGATGGTGGATGGGGGAATTCAGGGTCAGGGCCCGGCTCGATGCGATGGACAATTTGAAATCTGATATGGCGGAGTCGAGGTGAGATCGTCGACCTTTGGAAAGTACAAAGTACTCCGTACAAAGTACAAAGTACAAAGTAATAAGCCAACCAGCACGAAGAGCCAGATTGAGGCAAGGAGGGAAAAGGGAAAAGGGAAAGGGAAAAGGGCAGGGCGGTGATTGGCGGGTGAGGCAACGAAACCCTGCCCTGAACCTAACAAGGGGGAAGGGGGGAAGAAGGGGGCAGCGAGGGGAGGGAGACACTCACAAGGCTGAGCATATGATTGGATCGCCGCAAAGGGCGGAAGATTGGACAAGGCTGCCAGTGCAGTGCTTGGCATCACCTGACTTGACAGACCATTCCCTTTCGGGCAGGCAGCTAGCTCCGAGGGGCTCCGGGGTTCCGAACCCCAGAAAGAACTTGAACTTGATTCATTCCTGGAACGGAGGAGAGAGGTATGTATTTCAAGGCGCCGTCACTAATTAGGTACAGCTACAGAGCAAGACCCGACCCTGCCGTCACTGATTAGGTACGAGTACGGAGTACAGAGCAAGACCTGACCCTGACCCTGACCTGATAGGATTGCTTGGTTCTGGTTCTGGTGGACTGACTCGACTCTGACCTGCAGTGCCCAGGGCCTCCATTCACGCCTCTTCCCACCCAGGACAGCACACCCAGCACCCAGTACCAGCACACCCAGCACAGCACGGCTCTCATATCCGCCACTACCAATGGTCATTCCGGCACTGCCGGCAACCCTCGTTTGTTGATCCCCCATCGCCCTACCCTACCCTGCCGTGCTGTACGGAGTACTACTCCGCAGTGTCGCTGGTCAGGATTCTCCCGCCGTTCCGTCCTGAGACAAGACGAGACGAGCACTTGTACGGAGTACGGAGTACTTGCACTGAGCACGGCTGCCCTTAATCTCCGAAAGGCCTGGATACACGGACAGTACGGACTACGGGGTACGGGGTACAGATACTGTGTCCAGAGACAGAGTACTCTGGACTTTGTATAGCATCACATCCCACAAGAGCAAGCTCTAGGCCTCATAGCATCCCACGAGAGTCCTAATCTCTAGGCTTCTCTTCTCGACAGGAAACAGAGACAGGAAACACCCCAAGCTCTAGGCCTCTCCCCGACAGGAAACAGGCCGCCTTAGCCTCCACAGGGCCTAAGCCTCGAAACAGAAACAGCAGGTCGCCTCAGCCTCAAAAGGGCCAGGCTTCGACGGGTACGGAGTACTGGTAACCCCCACGACTTGCTGCTTGCCTGCCCTCCACGGGACCAAAGCTTCGACGGTACGGAGTACTGGCAATCCCCACGACTTCTGTTGCCCGCCTTGCTGTTGCCCCCCATGTTCTCACATCCCTTCGGTATAGCATGGCGCAAGGCCCTGGTCAGCATCCCACGGCTGGTTCCAGACTTTGTCCTACACTTCACCAACCCCGAAGGACCTCAACCAGTGGTGTTTGACCTACCCTCGCGGGATGCCCACATGATTCCAGTCTACGTCTTCATCCCACCGGCTTACAACCCGCACAACCGCCGGTTGCAATCCCAAGGCACTCATCTCAAAGAGGCTCTTCGGCCGAGCCCGAACCCGAACCCGGAGACCGATGAGAAGCTGCCCGTTCTGATTGACTTCCACGGCGGAGGCTTTGTGCTCGGGTCACCGCAAGAACAGGCACCATTCTGCGCCCAGATGTGTCGAGAGTTGAACTGTGTGGTCATTTCGGTCGACTACCGACTCGGCCCTTATGCCCAATACCCGGCGGCGATTTACGATGCGGAAGACGTGGTTCGCGCGGTGACCAAGCCCAGCACACAAGCCTACAAGACGCTGCGGCAAGGCATCCGACAGCATCTGGAGAAGGAGGGTCGGCCTCCGTTCGGGTTGGATGAGACCAGAATTGCCCTGTCGGGCTTCAGCTCCGGCGGTAACCTCGTCTTGAATCTGGCCTTGAGTGTGAAGGACGATCCGACCATTCAACAGGACTGGCCGAGCCCGCTGCCATGGGAATTTGAGAACGACATCCCCCTTTTACTGTTCTACCCGAGTTTTGACGCTCGGTTGCTGCCGCACGAAAGACCACGGCCGGATGGTCTGGCCGCACCCACGGGCATTATCGAACGATGGCAGATCGAGAAGGAGCTCATGCCCACCTACCTGCCGGTCGAGTGTCGAGACCATCCGCGCGCCAGTCCAGGGCTAGCTGACATCCGGCCCAAACATGCCGGCGACCATGTCGGGTTGCACCCCAAAGCCAAGATGTGGCTGCTGTTGCCGCAGTACGACTCACTCCACGGCCAGAGCCTGGAGTGGATTGAGAAGGTCAAGAATGAAGGCCGATCCGCCGATCTCACCGTCGAACATGTCAAAGGCGTCGTGCACGGCTGGACTCAGTTTCCCGATGCCTGGATCTCCGAGGAGCACCGAAGACTCGAGGCTGAGGCGTTTCGGGAAGCCAGAAGTTTTGTCGACATGTACTGGAACCCGGAGGTGAAGGAGATGGCGACAGGGGAGAGCCAGAGTCAGAGCATTAATCAGAACGAGAGTCAGAGTCAGAGTCGGACCCAGAGCCAGAGCCAGAGCCAGACCTAGAACTAGGGACTAGAGACTATAACCTGACCCTGAGTCTGAGCTAGAAGGGTCCTAGTCTGCCGGAGCTAGAGTCTGACTTGATCACAGTGTTGGACATGAAGCCAGAGCATTAGCCAGAGCCACAGCCACAGATAGAGGTACAGACATGGCATGGACCCTCTGGTCAGATTTACAATCCAGATAGAACAATGATTATACGCATGGACGTGGACGTGGACGTGATAAATGACCTAAGGCGTATGCCGCAACCAGGGTTCAGGGTGCAGGAAAGATGCGGTAGGTACGGTATAAGATACGTGAGGTACATTAGGCGAGAGGTGGGGGGTGAGAGGTGAGAGAGAGGACGAATATCTAAGATATATGCCATATGTGTATACCGTATATGTGTATATATGCCGTATATGTGTATGCCGTATATGTGTATGCCGTATATGTGTATGCCGTATATGTGTGTATGCCGTATGTGTGTATATATACCATATATTGTGTGTCAATATATCCATCTACCTTCCTTGCGTAGTGTTGTTCGCCAACGGAATAACGATATGCGGTAAATCCAGCCACTCCCAGTCCTAGTCCTCGCACTCGAACTCGGAACTCCGATATGCTTGGTAAATCCAAGCAGCGCCCTCGCAATTACTATCTGCCATCTCTCAGACGGACTGCGGACTATACCTAACCCCCACAACCCCAACCCTATCGGTCCATCATCGTGCATCTCGGCGCATAAAGTATATCGTCGGGTCGGCTGTGCCATAGTTCCACTTCGGGTCTAGGCGCAATTGGTCGATGTCGTAGAACCCGTACTTCAGGTACAGCGAGTGAGCCATGGGCGACGACTCCAGATAGACTGGGAGGTGACGGTCGTCTGCGATGGCGAGGCCCCATTCGATCAGGAGTCCGCCGGCACCGCGTCGCTGATGCTTGGGGTCTGTTTGAAGAGTGTGGAGGACTGTGTATAGTTGGATGGGATGTTAGAACGAACCTGCCAGGGGGATAGAATTGATTCGATGCCAAGGGTGTTTGTTTAGGTGGGTGGTTTGAATTGATTGAATGCGAGAGAGGGGGAGAGAGGGGGAGAGAGAGGGAGAGAGGGAGAGAGGGAGAGAGGGAGAGAGGGCGTGTGTGTGTGTGAGTGTGTGAGTGAGTTAGTGTGTGTGTGAGTGTGTGCATGTCTCTGTGTGTGTATGTGTGATTGAGTGAGTGAGTGAGTGTGTAGGTATATCTATGAGATCGTTCCATACCACAACAAGCCTTCCCTTCCACCAACTCACTCCGCTTTCGATGGATCCCCCCAAAGAACTCCTCGCACGCCTCGACGTTGCAGCCAGGCCCGAATGTGCGATTGCGATTGCCACTACGTTCTGGCTGGGCCTGGTCAGCGTCAGTGTCTGCATCTACAGTCTCGACAATGGTCCATTTGGCAAAAGCCACCAGCTCGTTGATATGCGAGTCGACCGCCTTGACCCAGCGCACGGTCGGGTTCTTTCGCAACTCCGACACCAGCTCTTCCGCCCTGGTGTCAGCCACATCCGGCGGGAAGGGCCCGGGGAAGAAGATGGGAGTCAGTGGATTGTCTGCATAGGCTAGACGTTCGAGCTCGACGATGCGAGGCACGTCTGATTCGACCGCTGGTTGCAGTTGTAGTGGAGTTGCCATCGCTATCGTGGCGGTGTTGGTGCTGGGCTGGGCTGGGCTGGTGGTGGTGGTGGTGGTGGTGGTGGTGGTGGTGGTGCTGGTTGAAGCACGTCAACGTGAGCCACCACGGCAGTCTCAGTCAGTCTCGTGAAGTTGTAGTTGTAGTTGTACTTGATCCCGAGGTGATTCTTGTTCAGTTTCAGGGGGATGACAGAAGATGGTCCATGGCCACATGTACAGAGGACGGAGGACGGAGGATGGAGGACGGCCATATCCTGGATCTGTTTCACTATTGCTCATTGCTGCCTGTTCATTGCTGCCTGGCTGAGGCTTAATAATGATGATCGCAGATCGCAGATCGTATGGTCGTCAATTGGCTTAGGGTGGGTGCGAAAATTGAATGCGCTTTATCCGTACGCACCCTTCTACTTCTACGCTTTCTATCTAGCGCTAAGTTTCTTCCTAGAATATATACTTAGGGGATATTATAGAGAATGTCTAGAGCTATCACTATAGTAAAGATAAAGTATATTGAATAAAAGCTATTGAAGTTATAAGAGATTTAAAATAGGGCACAGCGTATAAAGCGCATTCAATTTTCGCACCCACCCTAAGGCGTCATTCCGCCAAGCTCACTGGTGTCACTATACCTTGTAGGTCCTGTACCTACCTAAGGCATATATATGTACATGTAGGTACGTACATACCTACCTAGCTACAGTACTTATATGTAGTGTACAGTATTGATACTACACCTCATATACCTCGGGTACCTACGTAGGTGTGCCCGGCACGACTACAGCACAGAGTACTACACCGCCTAGATATCTTTGGGAACCTCGAGAGACTTGCAATCTTGTCAGTCAATGCTCTACCCTGTCCGGGAGCTGGAGTTTTCTTGACTCTGAGACAATTTCGATACCTGGGAGCTGCCTCGAGACAATTCCGATACCTGGGGTAACAATACCATAGGTACTAGGTACTAGGTACTGTAGGTAGCACTACCCAGAACCCTTTTGCTCCTTTCTCTCTCTCGGCCGACCTGATTTATGGCCGTCCTGCACGAAATGATCCAAGACCCTGATATCCTTGTCCGGCTCGAACCCCCTCTGCTTGGCCTTCTCCAGCAACCTCCTCGTGGTCCTCGGCGGAACCTGAATCATCTGATGGATCTGTTGAGGTGAATAGCCGACGACGAGAAGAGTGAGGGCTTGCACACGCGAAGCCAACGAGTATCGCATCCCGGAGCCGTGGTCTGTAGGTGTCTGAGACGAGGCAGCCAACGGGTATTGAGTCCCGTGGCTGTGGTCTGTAGACGTGTCTACCTGAGACGAGGCAGCCTCTTCTGCAACAGCAGGCCGCCTCGGCGGACTAGGGGGGCTGAGTTTCCATCTCGGTCCTGATTTGCTCTCTCCGCTGTCTTTTGGGGGTTTCCGTTCAGCTGCTGGCGCCACAGAATTGAATGACTTGGGAGGAGGAGGTTGAATTGCTTGGGAGGTGGAGGAGGAGGGTACATATGTATAGGAAGAGGAGGAGAAGGGTCCGTATGTATATGAATCATCTCTGACCTTTAGCCGGAGTCTTCGAGACGCCCTCAGCCTGAGGACCATCCATCGCAATCACAATCACTTCGCTCTGGATGGCCTATCCGCTTCTGCACGATCACTTCGCTCTGGATGACCTGTTCCGCTTCCACGGCAAACCTGAGATCCCCCTCTTCCTACGGCTCCAAAAGCAGGAAGCCTGACTCGCGTTGAGATGTGCCCGCTCCGCTTGACAGAAGACGCGGATCCTGAAGCTGTGATTGTAACTGTGAATGTAACTGTACTTAGTATCCTAGGAAGCCTATTCCCTTACTTGGAAAGATAGCGTCGTCCTTATAATACTTGAGGCAGGTGAGTCGAAGTGATGTCGCCTTTATAATCCTCGGGGCTAGACGAGTCGAAGTCTCAAGGTTTGAGAGCAGACGATGCCTGAGAAGGGTGATGGCAAGCCTTAGAGTCAGGCTCAAGTTCAGGCTCAAACTCAAGCTCACCGCCATTCATGCCTGAGCCCAAGGCTTCTAAGGCTGCCAGAAGTGCCTATAATTAGGTAGTTGGTAGTAGGTATTTACGGAGTATAGGATACCATATACGGTACCACTGGTGTGGGGGGTGGTTAGCATTAATTACCTGGTACATACCTACCTTAGGTACCTAAAGGCATCGCCTTGGCCCCTCTGTACGCTGCAGTACAAAACGTTCACCGCGGCAACATGAATAGGTAGGTAGGTAGGTCTGGAAAAGACATAGGATGGGAGGAGTGGCAAGATACATGGCACTCAAACACCACGGGAAACAAACATGAGTCACAAAGACAGTGACAATGTTTGCGCAGATGGGGACCGAGGAAAGCAGTAGGCAGTGGGGATGGGTCCGATGGAGCGCGGCAGTGAGGTTGGTAAAACAAACACGCGCAGCAGAGAATTAACTGAGGCTGGGTGTTGCCTGGCTTGAGTGAAGGAGTGAAGCAGGTACCTTACCTGACAGCCTAACAGAGGGATCAGTGACAAGGGGATTAGTTACAGTGATAAAGGGTAGTGATAAAGGGTAGTGACAAAGGGATCAGTACAGTGACAAAGGGATTAGTTACCTTATAGTGACAAAGATATCAGTGACAGTTGTGAACTGGTAGTACCCACAGAGGTATAAATATTACAGTTTCGAACCACCTCTCCCTCTTCCTCTTCCTCATCCTCGTGCAAGGGACTCGAGTTCTAGGGGCTGTAGTCTGAGAACGAGAGCCCCAGGGCTGGGGTTCTGGCGGCTGCAGTCTGAGAACGAGGGCCCCGAAAGCAACAGAGAGAACCCCATGGGGCTCGGGTTCTGGCGGAAGAATGCAACAGGGAGAGCCCCGAAAGCAACAGCTCGCCTCCTCGAGTCCCTTGTATACAATAAGAACGAGAGCCCCGAAAGCAACAGGGAGAACCCCGAAAGCAACAAGGGACTCGAGTTCTAGCGGCTGCAGTAAGAAAGAGAACCCCAAAAGCAACAAAAAGAAAGGAGTACGGAGTCATAACTCGACGACTACTATAAGTCCAAGCCAAGCCTCTCAGGCCTCTCTGCCGTACCTTAGATTAGGTTAGGTCAGATGAAGTGGACAGCATCACCGACGACGACGACGCAAGCCAGGGTGAAGCTGAAGCTGAAGGGGATCAAGCGGATCAAATACCAATGGGCGGCATCACCGCAGCCGAAGCCGAAGCAAGAAGACGGGAAGCCCAATCTTACGACACCACCGCAAGCTCAGCGGCGGTGATGAAACACTTGGCCTCCTAAGCCGGAGCCCTCCCCTACAAGAATAATAATACCGATGAAGTGGTAGTGGTGACCCTTGACCCTCCTAGGGCATGGGCATGGACGAAGACGAGGCTGAGGATGGCCACGAGGACGCGTATGAATACGAATACAGTAGATGGAGATGGGAAGCCAGGCAACGAGCGAGACGAGCGAAGAGCTTTGAGAGCTATGAGAGCCATGGTACTGTAAAGAGCCTGTTAACCAGACCAGACAAGCAGGCAAGAGAGCAAGAGAGCAAGCAAAGGAGGCGTGCTGAGACTCTAGGTACCTAAGACTTAGGGGCTTCCCCGCACCTACTATAACACTCTTACCTAGTACCTAGGTATATTAGGCGTTTATTGTCAGGGGAGTGCCTGAAGTCTACCTATAAGTAGTACCTAGGTACCTATACGTAGCTCTTATAGTAGGCGTGGGGAGGGATCCTATATATTACTAGGTACGTTACACTTTAAATTCATAACAGCCGCCCTATCAGCCTTAGCCACTACCTAGGTAGGTAGGTACCCACGGTGCTACCTGTAAGTAGGTGCCTATTATTATGCCTAAGGTAAGGTATGTACTGTATCACACTATATTCGACAAGTCTTCCTTTAACGCCATCACCCTGAATCCATGACCTTCTCAATCTAACCCTCCCCTCCCTTCTTATCCCATCCCCTTTCAACCCATCCCATCCCATCCCTTCTCAACCCAACCCAACCCAACCTAACCCTCCCATCCCATCCCATCCCACTGAGATTTACGCGGTGGTCACACTAATGAATAGACGCCATCCATGTGCGCGAGTACGGATATTCTGAATGCATACTTGATGTTCGAGCATCTATGTCCTGTATCAATACCTTGCCTCTCTTCTTAGGTCCTGGTACTGTACCCACCCCGTCTCATCTAGGTCCCTTACATACCTCATACTGACTGTCGTGATCAAAATCCTCCCGCACCTCTGATCAAAACCCCCCCGCACCTCGTACTCGCTGCACCGCCCCAACAATCCCTTTGGCCCAAGCAAACTTGCCCGGATCGACGCCGATGGCACCCTCAGCTTGTTTCCCCGTCTTCGCATCTTTCCAACACCCAGCATCCGGCCCTTCCTTGGCCACTTGACCGAACAAGTGCGTGTTCTGATTTTGTCGGATCCCTTCCATCCATTTCCCAACCACCAGCTCACTGTCAATCATCACGTTCACTTCCTGGCTGTGGTACCAACTTTGAGTGTCTTGGTTGCCGTTCCCCTGGATGCCGATGTGCCCGTCAACGATCATGAGTTTGATGTGACAAGACCGCTGTTTGAATTTGTTGTGGATCGGGTGGACTTGGTCCTTGGCCACGTAGACATGAATGTCGAGGTACTGGTGGTATTCGGGTTCTAGCTCTCGATACAGGCCATGAGCTATCATCTCGTTGTGGCCACCTTGGAAAGGTAAGAGCTCGCCGGCATCATTGTAGCCCAGGCAATAGTAATACGTCACATTGACTCCCCGGCGACAGGCCTTGAGAATCTCGGGGAGCAATGCCTCGGCGTTCAGATTGGGGGTCTGGATGAACACCGACTTGGTTGCGTGTCGCAAAGCCGACATGAAAGCCTCGTTCTGCGGCGTGTGCAGCGACTTCTTGCTGGGAGCACCCCACGGCTCTCTACAAACCATGGCAATCGGGAATGGGTCATGTCGGGGGATTGGAATGAGCGGGGTCATGAAGTCACTGGGTTCGAGTTCCGGAGCGCTGCCTTTGGTGTTCGGTTGGATGGTCGTGTTCAAGAGACGAGTGATGGCGTCAATCCGTCTTTCACCCTGACGAGGGCCCAACGACGCCACCGCCCGCAACACTTCCGACCTGATATCGGGATCGTAGTGGGGATCCTGTGAGGTGTGCTGAGGCAGATCCACCTGTGACCCGTCGTGTGCAAGCTTCCTTAAGCTCTCGTCGCCTTCGGTAGCCGTAGCCGTGCTAGTCATGTGAGCATGAGAAACAAAATCAAGGCAAGAAAACTCACGATTGAGCCATAGTAACCGTCTTCCCATTCTCATCGAATAGCGTGGCATGGCTTTCGGCCTCAAACGTGGGCAGGGATCCGGTTGCTGTCGGCTGACTCAGGCAGGGAAGCGGAGGGTTCAGGCGATTATGCCATGAGATGAGCGCGACCTCGTAGAGAGAGTTCACAATGGGTCCTTCCCACTGGGTCATCATCTCCAGGTTGTCGATGTCTTGAATATTGTCGCTTTGAAGTATGGCGATTTTGCGATCGACCACCATGTACTTGGCGTGGAATGTCCCGAAGACCGGAAGATGGAAGTTGACAACTTCGATATCAATGTTGGGAAGCTCATCGGGGTGCGGGATTCTGACTTTCCCATTCGGATCGGCGAACTCCTCGGGTGGCACGGGAAGGTGATTATTCACAACCTGTGCATGTTAGTCGCCGGACTGACGAAAGGGCATGCCTATGGTTGCTACCTGTTTGACGCTGCCTCGATCATAGATGATCTTGACCACTACCCGACGATTGTTCTCCACGGCCTTCCTCGAAAGCTCATGCAGGGCATTGGTGATCAGCCTGCTGGGCTCCGAGTACATCCAGAAATTGGTCGCGAGAAACACTTCGTGCTCCGCTCGAGCGATCACATTGGACATGTGGCGACAGATGTCCGGCACCGTTGCGATTATGGTAAGTGGACACACCCCGTTACTTCCCATGAGAGACGGTGCGCACACGCCAGCCACAGGGTTGTTCTCAAGGGTACACAGTACATCATGATAGATCTGGGGGATTCGTCAGAATGCTGCTGCCGACAACAATTTGATCAGGAGGTTGTCTCACTCGGAGGAAGAGGTTACTAGGGGTTGCATTCCCCCACTGTCCACACTTCCGGGCCTGTTCCAGATCGCTGGTTTCCTCATTCGAAAGGTCCACCGTCTTGGTGACAACACCATCTTCGATATCGACATGGAAGAGCCTTTTGCATGCCTCGTGTGGGGCCAAAGCTGGATCTTTGGCCAGTTCGGCCGTCACCGATAGCCCACCCTGGCACAGGTCGTACACCTTCTTTGGAATCATGACTGCCGACTGGGAAAGCTGATTTCGAGACTGGAGTTAGTGGTGAGTATCTGATCAACTACCAGTCATAGTTGTGGCTGACTGTCGAGACAGGAGACCGGAAATAGCGGCTGGGTGCGACAACGATGTACTGTCTGGAGCAGATGGTGATGGTGATGGTAAAGGATGTGGGAGACAAATGAGGGGAGACAGCATTATATCATGCCACACCGACACTGCCAGACGGAATAGGTTGCAAAGGAAAAGGCCGCGCAATCCTACCTTCTCCCAAGCTCCAGCTCGAGCGTTGGATTGGACAAGATGCAATCAGCCACAAGTCATAAAGTTGGATGAGGATGAGCGCATCCCACTTCCCACTCTGAAAATGATGTCAGATCCAATAATGCGGGATGGCCACTGGCATTGCAGGCTCCGTAGGCCAAGCACTTTTAGATTCTCGGAAAGAAGCTTGGCTGAGCTTAGTTGCGAGGCTTATCGCAGCACCACCTGCACGTGTGACCGCTGACCTCATTGTTCGCTGCCTGTCACGACCAACTCCAGCATACGTTCAAAGGCCGGAAGGTCTTGACTATCGAGGAGCCTACAGATATATAGTTGAAGTTGTCCTTGGCCTACCAAAGCGCCTAAGTGGCTTTACGCTGTGGCAGCGCAGGGAGCCCAGGGAGCCTAGGAAATGGAGCAGTTACATATAAAGCCAAACGCGCTGCCTAATGAATTGCACTCCCGGACGCGTTGAGCCGCACCCTCTTGTTACTCCTAATGTCACGGTTGAGCAAAGCAACCACGAGTCGCATCACACTATGACCATGGGTCGCTCACGTGATCACAAAGGCTTGCATGGCCTCCTAGCATACGCGACCTGAACGAGAGCCTTATGCTCGTTGTGGTACCCTCGTTGTGAGGACCACAACTCTTCTTCATACTCTCTGTCTTAGTACTCATATCATGTTAAGCATACACGTTTCCTCGTTGCCTGTGCACTTCGTGATATCCAATCAGAATCACAGTGCAGGTGAAATCATCATCCTCATCGACCTTGGACCAATACTTCATAAAAGGGACATCACTGTCGACGAAGGAGGTGGGAATTTCGAAGGATCGCCACACATTGAGGATCGCCACACCTTGATGATCTCGTAGCGTGCACGGCGGCGATTCGTACTCTTGCTGCACTATTACGGTCCCTAGATAATGAGTGCTAGTATTCTGTAATCTAGAATACGAGTATAACTTCCCTTGCTATCACTTAAGTCGTCAGTCTTCTATCCATGCCGTCTAGTCTTACATCGATGCGGTCTAGTGTTGCATTAATACGGTCTAGTGTTGCATCAATGCGGTCTAGTCTTGCAGTCAGTCGTGTTTCGACAGCAGCCAATGTTGTCTCCATCCTACCAAAAGTTGTGCCCATTGTTTGAACGATGTTGGTTAATGTGTCAATGTTGTTGGCTAATGTATCCAATTTATTGAGAATAGCTTTTTGAAAATCAGGTTGTGATCCCAGAGCTGGTGCAGCCATGACTGGTGTAGAGTAATAGTGGTGGTGAGAGTGTGGAGTAGTGGTGAGGGTGGTGAGAGTAGTGGTGAGAGGAGTACGGAGTAGTGGTGGTAAGATCGTTGGTACGGCGTTTATGAAGGAGTTAGCAGGACTTACACAGCTCTAGCCCCGATTAGGTGTACGCCAAGAGGACCGGCAATGACTGCATGTGGGAAACACTAGTCCAGATTTGGATAAGTGTGTGGTCACGATAGTGAATCGTCACGGTCTACGGAGTACCTAGGTAGTGAATGTCATTTGGTCCGACGGTTGTCCGAGGTGTCTTTGAAATCAGATAGCCTTACCAATTAACTTTGATCATCAGTGCAAGAGCTTTTATATTCACATCTTTACATCTTTACTACCTGCTGCCAGTCGTTGGCTTCATAATTTCTCAGCTGCTGACAGATCAAACCCATCACCATAAGTATCAACGACCCGAGTGTTCCTAGACACTCAGACAACTTCTCCTGGTCATCTATCTGAAAACACAGAGTGTGAAATCTCTTAGTCCCTTGGTCCCCGTATATCTGTCTATGCAAGCCGCTGATTCTTTGAGCAAAAGGGCGATACCCCTGTTGACCACCCTCTCCCGCGCAGTTTGCCGGCCATCACTTACCACCTGTCCACCTCGACTCTTTGTGGCCAGTGGGCACCGAGCCGCCGAGATGACGACGGCCACTTTCAAATACATTGATCCCACCTCCTATGTCGACAGCGATGTCCCTTTTGTGAAGCCTTGGTCCAAGGTCGATGATGCAGCCCTGTCCTTCAAACTCGCTGAATACAAGCGGTCCGTGGAAGACCTGCGCGGGCAGGAAGCCAAGTTCTCCGTGGATACCTCAGGCTTTGCAGTCTACAAGCATCCTGCCCACGAGAGACGCTTCACCGAAGACGTCGCAATCCGCGAAGGATATTATGGCGAAGTGGAGACATTGCTCCGAGAGAAACTTCCAGGCGTGAAAAAGGTGGTCATATTCGATCATACAATCAGACGAAGAGATAAAACGTCGCCTCGTCAGCCTGTTCAGCAAGTGCATGTTGATCAGACGCCACGCGCGGCCGAGGCAAGAGTGCGAAGACACCTACCTCCAGACGAAGCAGAAGAGCTTTTGAAAGGACGCTACGAGATCATTAATGTGTGGCGACCCATCGAAAACCCCGCCTCGGATTTTCCTCTCGCCGTGATCGACTGGCGGACCGTCTCACCTTCTGATTTCGTGAAAGTCGATCTGTTATACCCGAAACGAGATGCTGTAAACGGTGTGCTCGACGACGACGATCGGGGAAAGGAGGCTCTCGCGGACCCAGACTCGGCTGATTCCACCGCCAGCTATGAGATCAAGGGCGAGACGTACGTCATTGCGCCAAATGAGCACCACAAATTCTTTTACCAGAAGGACATGACACCGGACGAAGTCATGTTTATCAAGTGTTTTGACTCTGCCAGCCAGGTGAATCCTGGTGGCAAGCCTGGTTTGGCGGATTGCACGCCACATACTGCATTTGTGGACCCTCAGACGCCTGCGAATGCTCCTGGGCGGCAAAGCATTGAGGTACGATGTCTAGTGTTTTACGACTGATGTCGCTGTAGTCTGTATAGGACCTAGATAGTCTTACTGAGCGAAGCGAAGTACCGAGTAGTATATACTGCAATCTGTTCGAGAAAGCCGCAATCTCGATTGGACGATAAGAATCGGAACAAATGCATTGCCGTCATGGCTCAGACTGCTGTAGCAATCACTACAAACACTGTAAACTTGCCAAGCCAATTAGCTTATGTAATTCTCGGCGCGTTCCAGTTTGGGTTTCAAACGCGCTGCCCACTGCGTTTCACTCCCGGACGCGTCGAGCCGCACCCTCTTGTTACTCCAACCAGAATCACGGTGCAGGTGAAATCATCATCCTCACGACTGAGTTGATCGCAACACTATATCTGTACTGTTCCATGCTAGCTCTAACGTACAGTCTCTGTTCGGCCCATCTTCCAGCTCCTCAGCTGTAGCCAGCGCCAGCCATGGCTCCTCACGACAAAGAAATCTACTCAGCGACGTATAGCAATGTGCGAAGTCCCGTCTTTTGTTCTCCTGACCGAATAGCTGAATAGATGAATGGCTGACCTCCACTACAGGTGCCCGTATATGAGCTCAAGATCGGCAGTGACCATATCATGCGACGACGCTCCGATGATTGGGTCAATGCGACGCATATCTTGAAAGTCGCAGGATTCGACAAACCAGCTAGAACAAGAATCTTGGAGCGGGAGGTTCAAAAGGGGGTTCATGAAAAGATCCAAGGCGGTTACGGCAAATACCAGGGCACATGGATTCCTCTGACAGAGGGTCGCATGCTCGCGGAGAAACATGGGGTTGTTGCTCGCATTTCCAACATTTTCGATTTTGTCCCTGGCGATCGAAGCCCACCTCCAGCCCCGAAGCACACGACTGCTGCTTCCAACCGCACAAAACAAGCCAAACAACCTGCCCATCCCAAGAAGACGGCCCCGGCTCCGGCTCCGGCTCCCCCCCAGCCTGGTGAGTAGAATGGGCGCTGCGCAGTCGAGACTTGCAAACTGACCATGTTTAGTGCAAGCTTACCAGCCCGCTGAAAGCTACTACGAAAGCGCCAGTGTGCAATACAACGGGACCGAAAGCCGAGATGGATCGCCCGAGACTGCGTCTTTCATGGCAGAGGATGATTTTCTTCCCCTTTCCCAGAACTCGACCGCATCTAGGAAGCGCAAGCGCGAGCTCGAAGAACAAATTGCCACGGCGTCAGATCTCGAACACACCATGTATGGCGATGAGTTGCTCGATTACTTTGTGACCGCCGGCGACGATCCAGCTGCATCCAACATCTTGCCTCCACAACCTCCTGCCCAGTTCGATGTCGATCGGCCCATTGACAACCTAGGAAATAATGCTCTACACTGGGCCTGCGCTATGGGCGACGTGCGTGTTGTTCGCGACCTTATTGCTCGTGGCGCCAATGCTGCTGCTCCCAATCAATCTTCCGGGGAAACTCCATTGATCCGTGCCGTTCTATTTACCAACAACTACGACAAGCGGACTTTTCCCAAGATTGTCCACTCCCTGGCAGGAACAATTGTGGAGCGGGACTGGCATGGAGCCACAGTTTTCCATCATATTGCAGAAACAGCGCGATCGAGGAGTAAATGGAGTTGTGCTCGTTACTATTGCGAGGTGTTGATCAACAAGATGCAAGAGATGGGGTCCAACTACGTTCAGGCTCTTCTCACCTCGGTCGATGCTTCTCATGATACCGCCGCCTTATGTGCTATCCGCAATGGCTGTGTCAAAGTGGCAACATTTCTTCTCAACCATTGTCCAGAAGCCGGAGACATTCAGAACCTGAAAGGGGAAACTGCGAATGAATATCTCAGAGCTCTCCGAGAGAAGAAGGAAAGTCTTCAGCAGCCTGGATCTTCTCCTCCACGTGCCGGGGAGTCATTTGCCGCCAAGCAGCTTCGCCGCAAGCGTCAGAAAGACGCCGTGTCCCGCGCCGGATCTATCGTGCTCACCAAGATTGGAACTCTTCTGGACGAAGGGAGCATGAAGCTGGCCGAAATGTATGACTCACAGATGAAGGAAAAGGAAATTGAGATCAAGGAAGCCAAACAGGCGCTGTCGACCTTGGAAACTCAGAGACACAAGGTTCGACAGGAGACGTTCTTTCTCATGGCCAAGGCCGAAGACGCATCCCGAATCCCAGCGTTGCGACAGGAATATCAGAAGTATCTGAGTGAGATGGAATCGTTGTTGGAACATAAAGAACACAACAAACTCCAGAACGAGGTGTTTCAGCAAGATCAACAGGCGAACCCGCATGCATTCCGCTATGCAAATCCTCAGCCACTGTCTCCAGATGAGATCCGTGCCTCACTGCCCTGGGCTGTTGAACTGAATGATCAACAGGCGAAGCGAAGATACTGGGTGACAGAAATGGCAAAGCTGCTGGCCGAAGCTGGTACGAGTGAGAAAGTTGGGAAGCACAGAAAGCTGGTGGCTCTGGCAACCGGATTGAAGGAAGAAGAGTTGGACAGCATGTCTGAGGAATTGTTACAGAGCTTAAAGGCCAGTCAAGGGAATGGCGCCCAGACTCCTCCACACTTGATGTCCGGAATCCAGGCATAGGCATCGATCAGTGATGCTGTCCTGTGGCTGACGACGACCATGACGATGACGACGAGCAATGAATGACAATGACCTGAGCCTTGGCTATGTCGATTGTTAGACCAGCAAGCAAGCTGTTGATATGTAGAGCAAGGATTTTGTGCGTCGGCGGGTTTCATGTGTGATTTCGACCCATCCCTTACATATTTGGTTCAATCAAGGGTGTTTGGTCATCCGCAGGGTCATCCGCAGAGAAAGCCTGGCCTGACCTGTACCTGTATGTATCATGAAGAATTCAATTGCTTTCCAACGGGAAGATGGTGTTGCTTTCCAACGGAAGATGGTGTTGCTGCTTTCTGGCTCCCTCGCATCCTCGCATTCCGTCCCATTTCGACACGTGGGTAGTGTACGTACTACGTATTAGGTGCCAGTGGAGCCGCTACTTATCCGGTGCATGGGATTCAAGAAAAGAACAATCCCCTACGTACCTACCTAAGGGAGGTGAGTGTAAACATGGCTACCGGTACAACTAGGTCCAGGTACAAAGGTATGTGATTCCCAGGACATGGGACCAGGTTCATAGGCACACATCTAGTTACCAGGACATGATGACAAGGTACAAAGGCATGTGATTCCCAGCACCTGAAGACCAGGTTCATACCTAAGGTAGGTATCTTATGCCCAGCTGACCCGAGCCATAAATAAACTCTTGCACGACGTGTCGACACTGAATTGAACCGCCGACCGCAACAGCAAAAAAATCTCACACAGCGGAGTTAACCTCACCTCACAGTCGGTAAGAACCGTTAGTGTCTTAGGTTGGGTTTTGTAGTTATGGGTTTCTAGCCCCACCTACAAGTAAGCGGAACTATATCCATGCAATGCAGAGCACAAACTAAGACGTGAAGATGGGGCTGCCATCATCAGGTCAGAACCTATATGTGCAGCTGCGATTGTTGGGGAGAAATCTGCGACTTTGATCTATATTGTGTAGGTGGCCAGTGAAGTGAAGTATACTGCCTCACCCACGAGGCTGCGTCGCTTCACTGGCTAAACAAACTTACGAGGCTGCTTCACCTTACTGGCCAAGCCTACGAGGCTGCTTGCTTCACTTCACTGGCTAAACAAACCTACGAGGCAGCATGCTTCACTTTACTGGCCAAGCCTAAGATACGAGGCTGCTTGACTTCCGAGGCTACCTGCACTTCACTGGCCAAGTAAACACCCAGCTCGTGAAGCGGCCAGCTCGTGAAGCAACACGAGTAACTCGTATGCCAAGCTGGGGCGGAGCGGAGCGGAAATCGGGATATTATTTGTCCGACCCCAAAGACCCACTGTCCGCTCCGTTCTGACGCGACGAGGCTCCGGGCCCCTGGGAATGAAGACAAAGATGTCACCCGCCACCTGCCATTGTAGTTGCACTGCAGTCACCATAAATCGCCGGCACGGCAGACAGAGCCGTGCCAGTATTTGGTCCGTAAAGCCTTGCACTTTCACTTTCGCTTTCGCTTTCACTACTAAGTACTTAGACTTATGGACACAACCGTACCGTCTCTATGTATGCGTGCGTGGGTGTGTGCGTGTGTTTGAGTGCGTGCAAGCCTAGACTGTCGTTCCATTCCGCTCCGTTCCGTTCCATTCCATTCACCGTACCGAGACATCAGCGTTTGCGACATCAGCGTTTGCGACGCCCATCGAGATCAGTTTCTTTGTGGGAGTCGCAAACGCTGATGTCTCGGTATGGTGAACGACCCTTCCCAGCTGGCTGTGTAGGACATCTTGATCTTGATGGCATTCAAGGAACCCTCAATTCAGCTTCGGTGTTGCTTGTGCAGCCACACAACATCTACTCCATAGGTACCATTTCTCCTACTCCTGCTCCTGCTTTGCTCCTGTTCCTGCTCCTGCATCTGCTCTTCTCAGTTATCTCTTGCCTAACCCGTCCTTCTGCTCGTTATCTCTCGCCTGGCCCGCCCATCTCGGTTCTTGCAGTACTGTACACCCAAGTCTTTGCTCCTTGTAGATCGTTTGGCGGCTTTCTCTCACCGGCCTTTCTGAATTCTTTTGCTCTGGAAAAGTATCAAGATTGATTGCAGGTCTCTGTTAAAGGCGTTCGCAGCACGTCAAGTCATTCGAATCCCAGCTCCGACCACGGCCAGCCAGCTCCGCCGTTGCCGAATTTGAAAGTAGATTGGTCCTTCAGGCTGGAGTACCAGTATGGGCATATATGTTTGTACAATTCCCTTCTGTTCTCCTCGAAAGACATATGTATCCCTTCTCTTCCTTCTCAGCGTCTGTTTATAATATGTAGAAACTGCCTTGTGGTAGCTGGGTCAGCTGGGTGTCTCTTTCTCTCAATATATTCCTAAGGTGAAGCTTCTCCAGATCTGGCTCCGTCATGTTCTATGCCCACTCTCAGATATCCCGTTGATCTTATGTTCCCTTGTTCAGCAACTCATAGGGTAATAAATAGTTGTATTGGAAGGAAGGCTGGTTTTCCTAAGGAATGGTTTTGGAATACGGTGGCGTTGTGACAAGACGATTCGCCGGTCCGTGGTCCGTCGGGGAAGTTGAAGAGGAGCGGCTTGGGCATGGGCATGGGGTATGGACTATCCTGTTGCTCGGTTCATTCTGTTCATTCGTTAGCTTGGGGAAGCCTTGATAGTTGAGACTATGTATTCTCCGACTTCTTCGATCGATAGTCCGTCCTGTTGGTATCAATGGTCCGTCCTGTTGGTATCGATACTCCGTCCTGTTGGTATCAATTGCTGCTGCTTCTCGAGTAACATCCAGCATGCCTCGTGGCTCAACGTCCATTTCCTTGTTTCAGCACTCGCCGTCCTTGACTTGACGGAGGTGTAGTTCTCAGATGACGGGAAAGAAGTAGATGGACGATCCGGCGGTTTGGCTTGTGGGCTAGAGGTCAAGCCTCTAGATCTGAAAAGAAGAGGGGTCAAGTCTCTAGATCTGAAAAGAAGAGGGGTATGATTGTTGTTGCTCTGACTGGCAAAATTCACTTTTGAAGATGGCGCTTCGTGTTGTAGTTGTATTTGTATCGACAGAGCTGTCACCCACGCTTTCGAAGTCTGTTCAAGGCTTGAAGTCTGTTCACGCTTTTGAAGCCTCCTCGCGGCTGAAGACCGCCGATGAAAGAAATGGCTTCAGGCGCGGTCACAACTGTACAAAGGAATCAACACCCACGGTCACAACTGTACAAAGGAAATAGCACCCACGCACTTCCAAGGCTGTTGGATCAACGGATAAAGACGGCTTCATTCAGCGGAGCTGTGCTGTGCTGTACAGAACCCTTCTGAGAGGCGCGCCTGCGCCCATGCCCATGCCCGCGCCCGCGCCCTTCATTGTCTCAGGAGCTGTGGGAAGAGAAACGGAGTGTCTGTTGCAACTTGACGGTCCTTTGACGGTCCTATTTAGGCTTCTTTGATCTGTAGTCCTCTTTAGGCTTATTTTATCTGTTGTCTTCTTCGAGTTGTCTTCTTCGAGTTGTCTTCTTCGAGTTGTCTTCTTCGAGTTGTCTTCTTCGAGTTG